TCCCTGCCCCTGGGGAGGGGGGCAGAGGTACTCACAGCAGAGCCTGGCTTCAGGGGGGTGGCGGCAGGGAGGGGCGTCAGCATGTGGCCACCCTGCAAAGAGAGGCACCAGTGAGTGAGCTTGGGCCATGCTGAGGGGAAGGGGGCACTGGGAGGGATATGGGGGGACAGGGAGCTTGGGTCTGGACATGAAGCTTTGGAGCTGCTTGAGGAGAGAAAGAGGGGGAGGAGAGGAGGGTCCAGAGCACACCTTGACAGGGACCCTTTGGAGAGAAAGGGCTCCCCTTGGAGCCTGCCTGAGGTCCAGTAAAGACAGAGGAGAAGGAGAACCAACACTTGTAGGCCACAACAGTCTCCTGGGCGAGCAAGTTGAGTACACACAGAACTCAATCCTATGGCAAACCTGCCCAGACAAACTGTGGGGACCAGGAGGGAAGGAGTCCCAGGGACACCCAGGCCAGCACTCACCGTCTCCGTCTGCCAGAAGGTGTCCACGATGGGACACCTCTCCTCTCCCACCACGTGGTAGTACCAGAGCCAGGCTTCAGGGTTGATGGGCTCACCAACGCTCCCCAGCACCTTCAGAGACTTCCTGCTGTGCCTGCAGAGAGGAGGGTGCTGGCAGGGGCTCTGCAGGCCGTGGGGAGCAGCAGCTGAGAGCCTGCTGCACAGCAGAACCTGCAGGAACCCCTGGGCTACCCAAAGTGTACTTGGGGCTTCCAGGAGCTTTCAGAGCCCTCTCAGCCCTCTTCCACAGGGGAAGAAAGGAGACCTCTTAGTGTGTCCAAGTTCCAACCTAGCTCTGCTCCTTCTCTTCCTCAGGCCAAGGAGCAGCACATGGAGGGGCTCTACCCAGCACACCTCTGTGAGCTTTGGGGCAGGAGCAGGGAGAACCTGCCACCTCTGAGCTTAGCTGCAGCTTACAGTAAAAGAGGAGGATCTGCTCAGAAGAGGGTAACAGAGTTAGTGCTGGGAGTGCAGGCCTGCAGACTGCTGTGGGGAAGGCAGAAGATGCTGGTTTGTTCAGAAAACACAGAGAGGACACAGCTGCTCAGAGTGGAAGCTGCCAGGGCCAGGGACAGCCACACTGCCAGGGCCAG